TATGTTAATTTGGCCCTTTTTCAGTGTTGAAAACGGCCTTATCCGTCAGGATACCAAATCTGCATTGTTTGACAGACGTTATGCACACAAATACAGAAAACCGCAGACAAGCTGCTTTGTTATAATGATAAAGACATTGTAAATGTACACTCAGAAAAAAGGTACAGTATTCTTTCAAAACGTACTAATGTGTACATTTTAGGTACTAAGTGCTTATAAGGTACTAATATGCACCATTTAGAGGTAAAAAGGATAAAAAGATGTACCTTTTTGCTTGTATACCTTAGGATACCGCCTCAGTGACAGCATTGTACCTATTTTTCTATAATCGTAGTGATGCTCTGATATAAAAACTATGGCATACCTTATTGGAATGAGCATGATCATGAGTAAAGGGAAGATCATCTTCATATAGGGCAGAGGGTACATCCCAAATGCACACAGGATGATCAACTGAACAATCTGCAGGCCTGTGAAATAATGCACCTTCCTCTGCGGCACTCTGCGGATGTAGTGAGTGGGTGGATACGACGTCTTGGGAACACAGATTGAGATAAGAATGATCAGTGACAGATTTGTGTTAGTTAACATAGAAAGCTAACATAATCTTATTTACTTTCCTAATACACATTCCATGAAGGAACCAAGAAGAATTTCCAGTAAAAAGCTGATGGTCTGTTTATGCTGAACACAAAACCACTGCACAGTGTGACACAGAAGATACTTGATCTTAAAGGGGTCATATGACGTTGCTAAAAAGGAACATTATTTGGTGTAATGAAATGCGTTTATGCAGTTTAAGGTTAAAAAAACATTATTTTCCACATACTGTACATTATTGTTTCTCCTCTATGCCCCGCCTTTCTGAAACGCGTTGATTTTTACAAAGCTCATCGGTCTGAAAAGCGAGGTGTGCTGTGATTGGCCAGCTATCCAGTGCGTTGTGATTGGGCGAATACCTCAAGTGTGTGATGGAAATATTACGTCCCTCACCATACTGTGATGCCGTGTCCCGGCCGGAGCGACAAGACAAAAACATTAAAAGCCATTATAAACGAGGCATGTGTTGCATCCAGTGGGGACATAATTACTGATTATAATGACTTATACTGTCTTTTTACGCGTTGCGTTGCATTGCGCCGTGTAAACATAAAACCATGTCTGCATTTGTGATCGGAGAAATGACAAACAACAAGCGCTACTCTACACTGCCCAAAACTCGCATTTGAATCATCAGTGGCAAATTCTTTAAATATGAAAACATACTTTGCAGTCTGTGAGTCAGAACAGCCGGCATTGAAGTCTATTCTCCCAGGATCAGGAAACAGTCCTTCATAAAATGTGCTGCACACATCTGAATATTTGGGTTGAACTTTTCTGGAACAGTGTTGTAAATACAACTTTGATTTCTAGTCGTGTCCTCTTTTGGAAGACCAAACAAAGTAGTTTCGCTTTCATAATCTTCACAACACGGCGGCAGCAACAATAAAGTTACACCTTCTTTCTTTGCGTGAACATTTGGGCGGCTTTATGCAAATCTTCCCACACAGTGATGTAGACATGTGGAGCGTGTTAGAACGAGCCGTTTTAGGGGGGCGTGGACGAGTCTTAACTTTTATAAAGAATATCTCTTTGGGTTTGAGACTTTAGTCTTTGCAACTTCAGGGATCTTATCTATTCAAGAACAGCTTGCAACACTCCAAAGAGAAAGGAAAACTTGAAATCGCATCTTATGACCCCGTTAAACATACAGTTATGAAGAGTTGAATTTTGGGCCAGTGAGATATGACTGTGACCAGGGTTTGACTCTTGATGTGTCTTGTCAGTACAAAATCTAAGATTTACCTAGTTTCCCTCAGAAATGTGTCACATTACTTTAAAATCTGTTGCTAATGCTTTCATGTTGACTTTAAACTTGTAAATACGCATTGTTTTGGAATAGATTGGGATTCAAAAACAACCTAAGATTTATGACTCTTTACAACCACAGATAGTCCTTCACTCCACTGTATAGTGATATATATTGATTTTCCTTGGGGTTGTACAATCTGAAGACAGCACTATTAAATTACACAATAAATGATGTATCATTGATAAATACTGAGTGATCTGGAGACTTGGATTGAGGTCAAAAAGTCTTGTGTTTGAAACCCAGAGGAACAGCTTTTAAATAAACTAAGTTACGGTGAATGTTTAACTGCTTGTATTAAGTGTCTTTATTGACTTTATTAACTTGAGCTGTAACGGATGGTGCTCTTAATATACAGTGACACTCATTGACTGTTTTTAACAGTTTATGGTTAACTTCAACAGACATCAGTGAAGAAAGATGCATTTTTCCCCCACATAATGGTGTAGTACAAATTGGCTTAAGAACATTTTTTTTATTTAAATGTATTTTTTTTCATATTTTAATCAAAAATTGTTTTCAAACAGGGAAAGTTCCAGTGTTGTTCCCTATGTCCAGTTCATCCCTAAACATGAATTAATAATTAAGCTGTTAAAATTAATAGTTCTTCTCTACTCTTCAAAAGTTTTGAGGCTGCTAAGATTTTGTAATGTTTTTGAAAGAAGTCTCTTATGATCACCACAGATACATTTATTTGATCACAAGTACAGTAATATTGTGAAATATTATTCTAAATTTAAAATTGTTTTCTGTCTGAATCTATTGTAAAAATCTAATTTATTTCTGTGATCAAAGCTGAATTTTCAGCATCATTACTCCAGTCTTCAGTGTCACATGATCTTTCAGAAATCAATTTAATATGCTGATTTGCTGCTCAAGAAACAGTTCTGATTATTATCAATGTTGGAAACAGTGGTGCTGCTTCGTATTTTTGAGGAAACCGTGATACATTTTATTTTTCAGGATTCACAGATGAATAGAAAGTTCAAAAGAACAGCATTTATTTGAAACAGAATTTTTTTTTTAACATTCTAAATGTCTTAACGGTCACTTTTGATCAATTTAATGCTGAATAAGAATTCGATTAAAAAAACTTTTGAACAAAGAAACTCCACCAAATGATTATTTCTAGCTCTCAAGGCTTACTTGTTCTTTAAGCAGAAGGGCCATTCGGTCACACATCTGGTTTCCATCAATAGACGTGAGAGCGATGTACAGGAAGAGGCCGTAGAGAACGGGTTTCGGTATCCACTGCAGAGGCACCGGCAGCAAAAACACTGACAAACCAATCAGGATGTTTGCAGCCAGCGAGGTAAGTCTGGTCTCCTTCACGCTGACTATCCTGCAGGCACACAGAAGGACGTGTTTTACAACTCTGGTTAATCACACTTGATGTGTCACTAACACTCTCATATTTGTGAGTTGTAAGTCTTTAAGTGTGTCTGTAGGTGCTTGCGATCACGTTTCATAGAGGTGGCCCCCCTCTACTCGCTGTTCCACGTGCGCCAGCTGACGCACATGCAGCGTGGAGTGTGGGAAAGCGGCGTGCATCCATGGCAACCCCAGCACTGACATCAGGATGTTGATAAACCCAGAGAGCATCAGGTCCCAGTGGTACGCCGTTCCCTTTAGCAGTCTGAAACACATGCACACACACCAAAAGAGATCATACGGCGTCCCCTCAGCGTCTACGCTGAACTGACACTGTGAATGATGGCTCACTGATCTCTGAAAAAAACATAATTCTAGCGAATAGAAAAGGTATGGCACAGAAGCATGAAAACAAACTTTTAATGTTTAAACTCATATATGTGACCCTGGACAACAAAACCAGCCATAAGGGTAAATTTTCGAAACTGAGATGTATGCAACATCTGAAAGCTGAATAAATAAGCTTTCCATTGATTTATGGTTTGTTAGGACAGGACAATATTTGGCTGAGATACAACTGTTTGAAAATCTGGAATCTGAGGGTGCAAAAAAATCTAAATATCTAGAAGATCGTCTTTAAAGTTGTCCAAATGAAGTTCTTAGCAATGCATATTAATTATCAAAAATTAAGTTTTGATATATTTACGATAGGAAATTTACAAAATATCTTCATGGAACATGATCTTTACTTAATATCCTAATGATTTTTGGCATAAAAGAAAAATTGATAATTTTTACCCATACAAAGTAATGTTGGCTATTGCTACAAATACACCCAAGCGATTTATGACTGGTTTTGTGCTCCAGAGTCACATATGCAGTGTTGGGGGTAACGCATAACAAGTTATGTAATCCGATTCCTTTTTCAAGTTACGCTTAAAGTAATGCATTACTTTTTAATTTACTGTACAAGAAAATGTCTGAGAAAATGTCGCCAGTTACTTTGTTTCCCATTTATTGGCTGATTGCTCTCCTGTCCTCATGTTGAGAGAAATGGGGAGTAAGTTCAGAGGTGTCTAGACTAAATGTCAACATGCATTTACTCATCTCACTTACACAAAAACACATTCAGTATCTCCCAAAATGAATAAAAACAGTGCAAAGCAAGCGCAAACTCAGAATGACAAACCTGAAATAATTAAATATGTTAAATAACACAAATATCCTTTATATGTATTCAGTCCCATTTGATTGACCAATATCTTTGCTGCTGACCTTCGATGATCCAATCAAACCACACTAATAAGCAACAATTACTTTAAATATACATAACATTTGTGCTGCTTTTTTTTTTTGCTGAAGAGTGTTAAAATTTCATCTCTTGCGTCCTATTCTTCATGCAATCCAGAAGGCAGCAGCTGAAAGGTTTGTTTGGGCGGCGCCCTCTACCATACAGACGTGAATTTACATTTCCTTCAGCCTGAGGCTTATTGTTTCACTTTTGGTGTGAAAGGGCTTTTACATTTGCCAAAAATATAACTTTTTATATTAAAAACAAACAAACAAGTCCAGCACAGATTTAAAAAGCAATGCAAAAGTAACAATGCATTACATTCCATAAAAAGTAACTAAGCAACGTAATATTGTAATGCATTACACTCTTAAAAATAAAGGTGCTTAAAAGATTCTTTACAGCGATGTCATAGAAAAACAGTTTTTTGGTTCCACAAAGAACAATTCAGTCAAAGGTTCTTAAAAGAACCATCTCTTTCTTACCTCTTTATAATCTGAAGAAGCTTTTGTGAAACAGAAAGGTTCTTCAGATGTTAAAGGTTCTTTATGGAACCATTTAGTCAAAAAAGGTTCTTCTATGGCATCGTGCAGCACCTATATTTTTAAGGGTGTACTTTTAAAAGTAACTTCCCCAACACTGCAAATATGACTCAACTGATTGAAATAGTTTTTGATTTGCTGCATGGATACCTGTTCTCTGGGGCATTGGTGAGGGACACCACAATATTCTGGTCAATGAAGATGAGCAAGGCAAGGAGAAAGCCAAGACCGCATGCACTTAATACATTCATCCCTGTCAGCTGGTCAAAAGCTGCTACTCTGAATAGGGCTTCATTCTGGTAGTTGAATACTGGAACTGTGGATCAACATATTGGAAGAACTGAATGTATAGTTCACCGAACAAATGACATTTCTGCAAATATTTACTCACTTTGCCAAATCTTTCAATCACATTCAAACCTGTCACCTCAAAATGGATTGCGAAAGGTTTGACGTCAATGGCAATTGATCAGGATGTCCTGCTGTGACATGTCTTGAGGTGCCAGGTTTGAATCAAAGACTGTATAATATCTAACAGATATTACTCGCATTGCTGTGAACGGGAGTAAAAGCAACATGCAATTTGGCAGCTCTAGTAACGGAAGTCCCTCAATTCTAAGAAACAGGTCAGAATTGCGAGTTATAAAGTCAGAATTCCGAATTGACAGAATAAAGTCAGAAAACTCGCAATTGCGAGGAAGTCTAAATTTCGAGATATTTGCAATTCTGACTTTTTTCTCGCAATTGTGAGTTTATATCTTGAAATTATGACTTCTTTTCTCAAAATTATGAGATCTTGAATTTTTTCCTCAGAACTAGACTTCATAATTCACAAATGCGAAAAAAGACCGTTTTCTTACAACTGCAAGTTTATATTGCACAATTCTGCCTTTCTAGCTCGCAACTGCATGTTACAAAGTCAGAATCGTGAGATATAAACTCACAATTCTAGGAAAAAAGTCAAAATTGAAAGATATAAACTCACAATTCGGAGAGAAAAATAATTGCAAGTTTATATCTTGCATTTCTCAGAATTGCGACTTTATTTCTCAGAATTGCGAGTTTACATCTCAAAATTCTGACTTGGTAACTCTCAATTGCGAGTTTAAAAACTAGAATTAAAAATTAGAGCTGTCAAACGATTAATCGTCATTAAATCGCATCCAAAATAAAAGTTTTTGTTTACATGATATAAGTATGTGTACTGTGTTTATCTATGATTTATATACTATAAATACACTCACATACTGAATATATTTTGAAAATGTTTACATGTATATAAATTTATATTATATTTGTATTATATATAAATATATATAATACATAAACATGTTTTAATATATACATGCATGTTTGTATTTATATATACATAATAAATATACACAGTACACACACATATATATATATATATATATATATATACATATACATATATATATATATTATGTAAACAAAAACTTTTATTTTGGATGTGATTAATCGCGATTAATCTCTTGACAGCACTATTATTAAATACTGAATTGTGAGATAAAAGTCACTATTACCTTTTTTTTTTTATTCAGTGGTGGAAGCAGGCTTCCACAGTAATATGACCATGATTAACTGTTTTATTTCCTCTCTGTGAAGCCAAGTCATTCTGTATTACTTGAAACCAATTTAGTTTAAATGAAGTATGTTAGATCAGATGACCAAGCATTAGCAACTAATGCTGATTACAGTAAACCAGCCTATAACGACCTTCTCTTGATGAGGAAGAGGGCATAGCCCAGCCACAGTGTTCCCAGCATCAGCAGCAGGCAGAGAATAGGGCGCTCCCTGGTGCACAGAACCATTGTTGCAGGGAGTGAGATGCCTCCATTCTCTGTTCCGTTCACTCCCTGATGAAGTATCACACCCAGACCATGCAGTTCCTCTGTGCTTCCGTTGACTAGTGTAAGGCCATGATAATATTTATGAAATACTGAGAGAAAAGAGAGATATAGTGGACAGCAATTAAGTGAATATTTTTTTTCTAAAAAGACTAGTGCACCCAGAAACAACTAATCGGTCATAATTTCCAAATGTGGGATTTCCAAATGCATTAGATTTTTCTGAAACATAAAAAGAGATCTTAGGCAGAATGTTCATGCTGCTCTTTTCCATTCAATGAAAGTGAATGGAAACGGGGGCTCTTCTGAAGCAATAATAATACCAAAATTTAAGTTACCCTATTATAGGGGTGTGTGATAATTATCATCTGCGATAATATCATAATAATTGTTTTAGTGATATGTGAGCTGACATTATGGAGTATGTCACTTTTGTTTGCAAAAAAACGTCTTGAGAGTCTAAAAGCATTCACTGTGTGATAAAGCATATCAGAATGCAGTTAATGTGCCCCTATAAGTCAAGATATGAATATCCCTGTATGGGTTTTTTGTTTTGTATATTTGTATGTATATTTACATAGTTAAGTAATATCCCACATACAACATTAGTGTGTGAGTGTGATTGCAAATGTGATATTAATTTTATGCAACAGTTCAACAAACAAGAAGCTAATATTGAATGAGTTACATTTTGGACACAATAGTGTCAGTTTTTTTCTGTTTTGACAATGAAAATAGCTCCAATCAAAGCAGAACATTTGTGCATCTAAGAGCAACACTGCGGTTTTTCGTTTCTGAATTAATCTGTTTTTTAATTAATCATTAATCAAGTCAATGATTCAATGATCCATTCATAAAGACAGCCAGTTGCTTCATTTGTAAATGAATCAGCCGTTTTGAACTAATCATTTGAATGAATGAATCAATTAATAATTAATTAAGACAGGGATGGTTTTAGTGTCATATTTATTTATTCATCACTGGCCTAAACCAGCCAAGGTACCAAAACAAAAACACACTCAGCAGAATATTGTTTAATTATCCCTATCGAAAAATCACAATAAATATATATATATTTTTTTTTTTTTTGCCAATTTCGCACATGTGTGACCCCTACCCTATTATTTGCTGACGTCATAAGTCATACGGGTAACTTTTATGTTACTCTATGTATCTTTGTATTATATTTGGAATTTAGCAGCCCCAGTTTCGAATTTACTTTCACTGAATAGAGCTGGAAAAGAGCTGCTTGAACATTTTGCTTTAAACGACTCTTTTTATGTTCCATGGAATGGGATAAAATTACAGGTTTGGAATGCCAGGAGAGGGGAGCACATGACAAATAAAAAAAATATTTGGGTACAGTATTGTTTTAAAGGGATAGTTCACAAAAAAAATTAAATTCTGTCATAATTTACTCATCCTCATGTCATTCTATATTTTGAGAGATGTGCCCATGTTATTTTACTTTGTCCAAAACGGTTTGGCTACCAACATTCTATAACACATCTTCTTTTGTGTTCCAAAGAACAAAGTATGTTGATTTGAACAACATGAGGGTGAGTAAATGATGACAGAATTTAGATTTTTGGGTGAACTATCCCTTTAAACCACACCAAACGGAAATATCATCAACAATATTCTTACATCAAAATGCATCAAGACATTTACATTCTCTCCCCATTTCTTTCTCACTCAAACCTCCCTGTTGTTAAAAATCATCATTAATGATTTATTTCCGAGATATTACAAGCCTGCTCTAGTTTGGATATTAGTTTCAGCAACGCCTGTGGTCCTTTTACATGTCAGAGCTCTGAACTTACTCTTTATGGTGCCTTTCAAAGCGTCGCCCACAAAGGCAATGGAGATGAACAAAGCTATCACTTCTTCTGTGGAACTGAGAGGACACATAGCACACAGTGAACAACTCATCTTTCCTTTTATCAAAGCAACAGAGCACAAACCAAGACATAACAACAAAATCAAGGCATGCCACAAACAGAGATTACCACACACACGACAGGACAGCACATTTTTATGATGGATGTTTATGCTACAGAGAGAGGCCATAGCAGAGGAATCTGAGTTATATCAGAATGTGGTGTCTGCCTGAGGAGATTTCATACATCAGTAAAAGACAACTAGATTGTCACATTTTCTCAAGCAAATGAGTGAGGTGCATGTTTGTGTAAAACTCCACCACAGTTCTAGGGTGTTGTGGGTGGTTGTCAGCAAGTTGCTTCGGTGCTTTAAGCGGGCTTTAGCTTTGCTTTGCAATTATTAGGGTGTTCTAGGTGGTTGCTACCTGGTTACTAGCTGGTTGCATACTGACCGAAAACATTGAAAAATCATCCCCAAGTCTTTATAATATTCTGATCTCAAGATATCGTAAATCTGATTGCTTAGAAAAGTAATAGCATACTTCAACAATTCACATTTCTTGTGTTTTTATCTTGTCTAGAGTGCAAATGGTGCAGAACAAGTTTTGGGGTTTGTGATATAAACAATATAACATTGGTATGTACATCAGGCATGTGATCAGTTAAGGACACAAAAGAAGGAGAAAAACAAAGTAGTCAAATAAACAGGAAACACTCTTAAATATAAAGTTTCTTTACTGGCATCGATGGTTCCATGAAGAACCTTTAAAGGGATAGTTCACCCAAAATGAAAATTCTGTCATTAATTACTCACCCTCATGTCTTTCCAAACCCGTAAGACCTTTGTTCATCTTCGGAGCGCAAATTAAGATATTTTTGATGAAATCCGAGAACTCTCCGAGAGAACTCTCAGAGAGAAAACAGAGGTGTTTTCAAAGCAATGTCATAGAAGAGCCATTTTTGGTTCCTCAAAGAACCTTTCAGAGATCAGTTCCCAGAGGAACCATATTTTTCTCAGAACACAGGCAAAGAAGAAGCAGAAACAAGCAGATGGATATGTAAAATAATGTGATAATCAAACATTAAACAGCATATAATTCAAAACTGCCTAACTTTACCAAATGAAATGTTGACAGTCACAGGAAGTGGTTTAGGACTGAGAAGCTTATGAGGTGTCGATGAAGTGATCCACTCCATCTATGTTTTGATCATCGACCTAAATCCCATCCAGACGTAATCTTAGACAAAAACACGATTTTCTCAGCTTTTTTGTTCAACTTCTTTTTCTTTTTATGAAACTTAACCACAACCAAACATTGATTTAACAAAAAAAGGAAAGCATGAAACTAGAATAAAATGGTTTGTTTTGTAAGAAGAGGCTCTAGTTCTTTGCTTTGACACACTGCATGTTCAGATATCCATACAGCAAAACATTCTGGGGGCCATGAAACTTCTGCAAATGATCAAAAATGCTGGCGGTGGCTGGCAACTTAAAAAATAAATAAATAAATAATGCTGACAGGGAAAGATTTAGAAATCTGAAGAAGCTTTTTCCACTATAAAGAACCTTTTGTGCAATGGAAAGTTTAAATGGATGTGAAAGGTTATTGATTGAACCATTGATGCCAATGAAGAACCTTTATTTTTAAAAGTGTAAAACTTTTACATTCCACAAAATTTCTTTATAGTGGAAAAGGTTCTTTGGATTGTTCAAATGTTTAACCGTCTGGACATCTTCAGTCATTTTTGACAGAAAATCATCGGATTGAGATGACACTTGGCGACACTTGGCTATGTGAGCACACACAAAAAATCATGGACATGATTTGGATATGTGCAAGGGTCGAAAATTAAAAAAAATAACACTTGTTACTGTAGCATACAAAAATGACAGCAGAAAAAAAATCTTAAAAAGGTATCTTAAAATCCCCTCAGAATTTTAAATAACAACCAAAAATATTATTGAACAAATACATACATTATATTTACATTGGTTTTCCTGAGTTACATTTCAAGGCTTCAGTCACTTTTGACCACAAAGCTACCAAGTGTAACCCAAAAATGAAGAGGCACAGAGAGTTAAGAAATGTTCACAAAAAAGGACCCCCCCCCCAAAAAAAAACCTAGAACAAAAGGTTTTTTTATAGTGGAAAAGGGTCCTTTAGATTTTTTAAATATTGTTCACACTAGGCAAAACAATTATTCTTCTAGGAACTGTTCTCTGAAATGTTCTCAAAAATGGTTCTTCTATTTCATCACTGTGAAATCCACCTTTTGCCATCTTTATTTTTAAAATTGTACCAAGAAAAATGGAAAAATTAAAAAGAAAATGGTTCTTTTTAGAACTGTTCACTAAAAAGGAACCCAAAGAGGAACCCAAAATAGTTATATGGCATTAAAAAAAAAACTTTTTGGAACCTTTATTTTCAAGAATGTAGTTGGTGTGTTTCTGGTCCAAGGTGGTCCATCAGCTAGACCAAGATACTCTACCAATGTAGTCCAGCTGATCATCCATCTAGGCCAGCTATAACCAGCTAACGACTATAAATGATTAACTTTATAATTTGAGCACAGACCTATCTCTCCTCGCGTGCTCTCGTCATTCAGAGAGCCGAACGCAATGGCCGGCAGCAGGATGGCGATGTAGAGGAAGATGGCTGTGGTGGTGTACTTCAGCAAAGATCTGTTAGCGTCCAGAATCCCTGGAGAGAGAAGCCACACAGCAGCAAACACCTCAGCCCGAGCAACAGAGAGATTTCTGTTATTTCTAGTAAAAGTGAAGTCAACCAGAGACTCGCCATCTGTGAAGTCCGACAGGTACAACGGAAGCCTGCGGCACAGGTCTTCATAAATGCCACGACCTGCTCGGAGGAAATCTTTTACCTGGGCACAAAAGGATATTTGGAAGTGAAAAAATATGCTGATAATGTTTTTCAAATACATAACCACAGAGCTCATCAAATCCAAAGTGCATAAACATGCAAACCTTAACAAAAAAACGTGGTGTTGTAAAATATCACAAGAAAGGAAAATTGTTATTTATTTGTGATCCAGATTGCCAGATCCAGACTACGCTTGAAATGTTCTCTCTTATTATGTAGTAGGAAAATAAATATAATGGAACATCTGTTCTTGAATCTCTGAAATAATTACATTATAGGGAATGTGTGAATAATCCTAGTGACAGAATTCAACAAACACTTACTACAAAGAGGGTAAGCTGTGAAACGTGAACATTGAGGCATTTTTCAAGAAACCAACCAATGGTTAGTAAAAGGAGATGCTTATTTATTTTTGAAAAAATTCTTATGCTAATCAAGGCTGCATTTATTTGATCAAATATACAATAAAAAACAGAAATTGTGTGAAATGGTATTATAATTTAAAATAACTGTTTTCTATTTCAATATATTGTAAACGTATCGAAGTTGCATTTTCAGCATCTTTACTGCAGCATTCAGATAATTTCAAGAAGTTTTATGATTTTAACTGTTGGTACAATTATGATGGTCAACATTTCTAAGGTGGAAGAGGAAAAAAAAATCTGCCATTGTGTCCCCACCAATGTCAAAATCAAACCTACCCCCATGAAGCACTGTATATGTCGAAAGAGAAACACATTCGGTTATTTATTAAGTGAACGTAACATTTTGAGAAAGAAACCGGATGTCTGTCAGTATATTCGGTTCGTGCATTTGGTCTTAAAGAGACAGCAGCCTATAAATACCTGCTGCTGTCTGCGTCATTAATGCTAATCAAACAACAAAATACAACTTTAACAAAGAGTAATCTGTATTTAATTTATACACTATAGTCTTATTTTACACTTATTAGATTTCTGTACCTGAATACTACTGTTACTGACTTTATTTGTAATGTTGTTAGACTGTATTCATCTATGCTAGTAATTTGTGTATTTGCTATTATTTTATTACTGACTTTTCAGTTGTCTTTAATGATGTTTATGAACTTTAATATTTAGGCCAGTAGTTTTTGCTGTGGTATCAAAGTACTTAAAGTGTTCTTTAAGTAATAAATGAAAAGAACATTTTTTTTATTCGATAAATGATCCAATCCAAGACTCAAAAATGGTAAAATGATTAGTTTTGTGATGGGTTGCACAACTAGTGCAGCATAATGTGAGGGAGGTGTGTGTATATGTGAAGAGTGCACTTCACGGCCCACAGAGAAAACCCAACATTAAGTTAACCGGCAGACTGAGCAGATAATTGGTTGGCCAAGTCATTTGCATGCCCAGAGGCTCTCTTGGCTCCAGACCTTGAGTGGTTTGTTGCTGTGTGGGTCGGTCTCTTCCTCCAGCGAGGGCTTCTGGATGGCAGTGGAGAGCCGCTGCCTTTGAATCACCAGCTCCTGCTTGAAGTCCTCCTGGGTCTTCGTTTCCAGGAGTTTCTGTCTAAATGAGATGTCTGAGAACAAGGTGGCAAACGTGCGGCTGAGCTCTATGGCGGTCTTTGTGCTTTTCTGCAGGGTACGGAAGAGGAAAATTACAACAGATGCTTAAATAAATCTGAGATGCTAAAAGTAACACTACAGATAAAAAAAAAAAAACCCTGAAGACTTCAAGTGTAAAAATTGACACGGTTTGAAACAATTGCAAATTAGCACACAGCAGTGATAATACAAATGTGTGTTTTTGTCACTCTAGGTGATGATAGGTGAAAGGAGCGGCTTACTGTGCGAGGCGGTGCCAGGATGAGGATAACATAGCGAACCTCGCAGCAGTTCACACCCCAGTTCTGCGGCCGCTCCAGACGCGAAACACAGACGCAGCGTCTCTGAAGACTCTTCACATTACATCTGAATACAGAAGGGCACACACGTTTCATCAGACATATATATGATTACATGTAAATAAATGATTAAATAGACAGATAGATAGGCTGGGCTAATCAGATTTGATATTTAGTTAATATCTGCATCAGCCAATAAATGTGCCTGCTTGATTGCTTCTAGACATGCATTTTTTGTGTTCAAAGTAAAATTGTGTAAAATAAATAATTGTGTACATCTCAGTTGCTATTTCCTAACATAAATAGGGTGCATAATATAAACTGGCAGCAGAAAGTTTGTAAAAAGATTTTTTAAATGTTTTTTTTTTAAACAAATTTATTTGATCAAATATACAGAAATATAAAAACAGAAACAATGTGAAATATTAAACAATTTAAAAAAGCTGTTTCTATGTGAATATATTGTAAAATAGAATTTATTCCTGTGATCAAAGCTGAATTTTCAGCATCATTACTCCAGTCTTCAGTGTCACATAATCTTCAGAAATCATTCTAATATGCTGATTTGATGCTCAAGAAACATTTCTGATTATTATCAATGTTGAAAACAGTTTTTGCTGCTTAATATTTTTCTTTGGATGTTTTGATGAATAGAAATCACCTTTGATTTAACGGCATCCTTGCTGAATAAAAATATTAATAGCTTTTTCATTTGTTTTTTTTTGCACTTACCATAAACTTGTGAATGGGGTAATGAATATATATATATAAGAATGGGAGTAAAACAATAAATTATGAATAACTTATTGCCAGTGTATGAATAATATGCAATAAAGTATGCAAGTATGAAAAATATGCAATAAATCCATCAAAAAGTAACTTTAATCTAATTATAAGCATTGTAAAATAATATAATCTAATTACAAGTACTTGATTTTTGGAATCAGATTACATGTAATCAGTTACTACACTGTTTTTGTTTCGTCAAGTTTCATTTCTGAATAAATCAGTGTTTTTTTATTAATCAGTTGAATGAATGAATCAAATGACTTGCCCACAAGGACAGTCACTACCTAAATGCGGTGGTGTATCAGTTGTTAACTTGCGGAAAGAGTTACTAAAACAACCACAATAATAATGCACAGACTGTGTCAGTCTGTCTGGAACGAGCAAACACAGTCAACGGAGATGATAAAAACATTGACAAGTCCCAGTGTTGTTCTCATCCGCACACTTATAACAGCACTCAGCTAATCAAACTCCACAACATCTTTAAATCTGATAAAGTTCTCATTGCCGTCATGTAAAGCTTGTAAATATATTTTGCTGACTACGCCAAACACATCCCCTCTCCCTTGTTGTGATCTTTCTCTGCCGCTTGCCTCACTAGACTTCCTGTTCGCAGGCTCGCTGACTTCCTGTTGCTGACTGTGCTGTCCTGTGCTGCTGACAGAAATAATAGTTCCATGAAAAGGTCTGTACCTTTCGCAGGAACTACAGTAAATTTGAACTGACCCTAAAATAGTTGGGCTGTTCCTTAAGGACGGACAGACTGAATATACTAAATTATGGATGAATCCTCAGTGAAGAGAGCTTTTCTTTTTATAATAATAATTATATATAATAAATAATTACATTTATATCCCTGTTGTCTGTCATGTCAAAGAGTCCTTTAGCTGAAAAAAGGTGACCCCCCCAAAATCAGCAGGAGTCAATGAAGCTTAATGTGAGAGATTTATTCTGGCAATCTCATTCCTTTAAAAAAATAATAATAATAATTCAGGATTTGTTAGTGATTTCAGTGCATATACAGATCATGAGATTTGCTTTGCATCTGAAAAAATGTGCAATTTTATTTTATTACCAGCTGATTCCTGTTCCTGACTCATTCTTACACCAGTTTACATCCAATTTTGCACAGCAATGAACTGAATAGTATACGTAACATGAGTGCTGGCTAAAATCTTCTTAAAGATCTTAGAAAATAATCCTCTTAGAGAGAAAAGAAAATTCCCATCTCAGTATTACTCAAAATTTCCAAGTGTTATGTTACTGTCTGTAGCTGTTGACTTTTCTTATTTCATTTATTTATTTTTTCTAAATGCTTATCCTCACTGTACCATATGCAGTGTTGATTCTCACATAATATGAATCAATGATAATGCACAATCCTTCAAAACTGATAAGATTAAAAAGAGAAGCATTTCTCTTGGCTGGTAATTTTCCAGCCTAAGCAAATTCAGACGGAACAAATGATTTTACAAATTACCCATGAGGAGACAAACTGATCCATAAGTGAGCACAACTCTTTCCACCTACAGGTCTCCATCCCCGCTGAGCATGACTATCCAGCATCCAATCAAGTCTGTAAGTTTCCAGAGTTGACAAAACACAGCTCAACTTACCGGTCGGCACAAAATTAAGCACTTCTTTGCTTTCCATCATTTTCCTCAGAAGTGAAGCCGATCAACCCATCACAAAGTTTACAGAGTGTCTGCTCACAGCTCTACCTTGAACCTCAGCCAGCACTTGAGTCTACAGTAAGCTCAGTGCATGTGAAACGGGGCGGGTTTGCTCTGCCTCTGGGTCCCAGTGCCTATCAGTGACTAGACAAAACTGAAGCCCAACACAACTCACACAGTAAGATATTAGTTCTTATTAAAGCCATTTCTAACAACAATGAAGAAATGGACTGGAATGGTCAAATTAAAAAGAATGTCAGGAATATGCAGAGATTAAATAGAGAAGAATGAATTGGTTGGGTTATGTTTATTATTAACACAAAATTGTTACAAATATATATATATATATATATATATATATATAGACTGTATAACAGTGGTTCTCAAACCTCTCCATGAAGTACCCCCAGCACTGCACATTTTTTATGTCTCCCTGTATCTGACACACCCACTTCAGGTCTTGCAGTCTCCACTAATGAGCTGATGAGTTGAATCAGGTGTGATAGATGAGGGAGACATACAAAATGTGCAGGGCTGGGGGTACTCCAGGACAGGTTTGAGAACCACTGCTGTATAACATACTGTGTAACAAACACAAACACACATATATACATATATATTTCAATCATGACAACTCTCTGAAGATTTTAACATGGTAATGGATGTAACAGGAACTTGCTACTGCCGATGCATACGACGATACAGTGCTGTGAGTATTTAAGACATACTGCTGCTGCACAAATAGCATATAAAATAACCCCATAGCAGATCTATACAGGTGGAGCTGGGGAAGGTGGAGGGTTTCAGAGGAACTCTGAAAGCACGCTGCAAATGCTCAAGTAAATGCTAACCAGCCATTTAAATGTAAAGTAGCAAGCTCATTGGCTGTGTATGCAACATGAACGAATCAGCTTGTGCCAAGTTGTTTAACGCTGTGAATATCATGTTACATTAATACCCGTCAGCCTGCACCATCTAGAGTTTCATGACTGAACTATACACACACACATCGGCTCTTATATATATATATA